AGTATTTTCATCTGCCTGCGAATACCTGTTACTACACTGTGAAATACCTCCTCTAATTCCGTTTTCAAAAAACAAATACATTTCATAATCAGTTAATAATTCCAACTCAACTGAAGTATATTTTAGCATACAGTCCCAAGCTAACCCCGGAGTTGTATAATACCAAACAGGATCCAGTCCATATCTCTTTTCTAAACATAAATCTCTAAAATTTTCAAATACATCAGTTAATAGCAAAACATGTAGTTTTAAGTATAAATCATGCCATTCACCCAAGTTTTCAATTTAAAAATACTTCCATACTTTCACTGCATGTTTGAATTCTTTTTGACAAATTCCTTCTTTTGTGAGCGAAGAATAAAATTTATCTATTGATGGAAGTTTTGTTTCAGAAAATTTCTCAAAAGAATCCATGTATTCATAGGGATATATTCCTTTTCTAATTATCTTGCTTTTTTCTTTCCTAAATAACACATCTAATTCATGATTTGAAAAGTATTTAATTAAGTATTTCTCTTAACTGAGTTGATTCCAGATTAGATGACAAATTGTCTCGGCTACTTGCTAAAAATCTAAATGAATCGATAAATCGCAATTCGATATATCCATTATCATCCATTCTTAAAATGTTACTGAAAAAAATACATTTCTCTTCGTTATTAGGTATTAATTTCAACTGACTTTTATCTTCTCCTAGATTTTTTATAAACCAAACAATAAAACACTTTCAAGTTGTTTTTTATGGAGGATAATCTAAGGACGTAGAGTAATGGAGTAATGGAGTGCATTGGTCAATTTAGTACTCGTTTCTCGATATTTCATAAGGCCGTAGCTAGGGGAGACTAGGCCATGCACCTCTAGATATAGACAAGTTATAATTAATCCATCCAAATTACAGCATCCAAAAACCAAATAAAATGTAGTATTTTATTCAATAAACGGAAGTCAGGGCAATAAAAAAGTCTGGATTGTCGCATTGTCATCCGGCTATTGCAATTCGTAGAAACCATGTTTTAGTTTCGTTTGTATTTCACCGTCACGTCTACAGGTTGATAAGTGTTATGGCTATTTGTCTTAAATTACAAGTACTATACAGGGTGTTAATTTTAGCTGTTCACTTTATCTGCTTACACCTGACAATTTTTGCATAGGCAACATATTATACATCCCAGAAACGACTTCGTGCAATTAATTTTTTTTTTAATAAGCAATCAATCCCAAATAATGACAAAATTGAAAAAATTAACTCAATTTATTTTAAAATGTCGTCACGTTTCCCACAGCGAGGGAAGTACTGTCTAAATTCTTTAGACCAATTTTTTCGCTTTATATCCCTCATTTTGTTTTTTTAAAGAAGTTCTCAACTTTAAATATCAATTCCTTTTTTTATATACTTAACTCGGTGAAATATCCAAGTAGGACGCTTTCTGAGTAATTTTCCGATTTTCTTTGTTCCGCAGTAGGTAACAATAAATGAATTTATTATAAGTGCTGTGGTAAATTTGGTTCGACTTAGAAGGGACCAAGTCATCTATTTATTACCTATGAGGCTTCTTGCGCAATTTCAGTACATGGTAGACTTTCTTGGCTATCTCACATTTTTAATAAAACAACTACAAAAAAATTCAGTAGATATAATTAGATTTAAAAGAGGAATTGATTTTACTTACCTGTAAGATGAAATGAACGAAAACAAATATATTTACTTTTTTTTAATTGATGATTAATTAAAAAGCAATCGAAGCTATTATTACAACAAATTACTGTAACAAAATGTCGTTTCTTCAATTATTTTTAATTTGTGAGTACAAAGGCAACTAGATTAAAATATTTCTGACATCACTATGTAATAAAAAAAAAAAAATTCCTTGAAAAACAAATTTTAAAAATTAAAGTTTAGTTGTTAAAAAATTATGTAGGCTTTCTTAAACCTTTAAAAAAAATAGGAAAACCTTTAAAATTATGTTAGAGATATTATGAATAATGTTGGCAATGGCAACATGTTGAACCGAAACTGCCTAACCCGCTGTCTAATAAAATTTTCGTTCCTTTTATTTTTTGTTAAAATTGTCAGCTAGAAGTATGAGTTTTATGTATTTACGTTGTGCGCACATTTTTATTAACAAAAACAATGTGATAACCCAAATATCCCGCCTTAAATTAACATGTAAGAAAATGAAAAGCCCGCAAAAAATTCAAAAATTCAAAAATTTGGCCTTGACTGTGATCGTCTAACAAAATGGAACCTACGCTGGGTGTGTTTTTCTGTGGCGGAATACGTTCAGATGCAAGTGGTGGATCACAAGGTTTGAAAAGTACCGCTAAATAAAATACAAAATATATGGAGAACAAAATAATTTATTCATCCACTCACAAAAAAAAAGAAAAAAAGCTGCGACTAAGTTGTGCCGGTTGAAGACACCTCTTAGTGCTCAGCTACAAAAGAAAAACTTGCCTAACTTTGAATGAAATCAAAGTAAACGTTCTGAATCAATGCAAATATATGAATATGACAAATTTAATAAAAACTAAGAAAAATCTGAATTAAAGTACCTGACTGTAAATACACAAGTTATTACGGACGTGTGGCGGCAAACTTAAATTATGGCAGTCAATAATTTTTGATTTTTTGTCGTGTAATTAGATTTTCTAATCTGTTGGGCAAATAAATAAATATTATTATTATTATTATTAAAATTTTAATAAAAACTCTTTTCTCATTTCATTATAGAGCACCGCAAAATTAGCCATAGGGGGCGTTGTAGCACGAGCGAATTTTGGGGGCAGCAAGCCCAGCCGCACAGTACCCTTCCATCACGGAGGTGACGTACGAACAGGCCGTTACGGTCGCAAACTCGTGGTTGAATCCCGGCTTTTGGGACAAGCCCACAGCGTCACGTCATTCCGACCGTCCCTGACTACTATTCTAGTCCTGCATCCTTTGTGCAGATGGCGCTACCGCCAGCTCGACAAGGAACTGCACATTCCGCTTCCGCCACGTGTTATTGTGTTATTTACCTCAATTCTATTTAAATGTTCAATTTCTATGAGTCTGATACTAAACTAGAACCGAACAAGTGTTAAAGTTTCAAGAAGAACATTAAACAACATTTAAATTTGCCATACACTCTCGCGAAATTTTTAAACAGCAAAAAATTCTTATCTGCGATTAATATTGGACATCAGACAATTCATCTGATGGAAACATTAATCAACAAAATATTTACGCGGTCAAAAAAATTAGCAAAGATTTATAAAAACAAAAAAGATATGATGTGAAGTAAAACTTGTGCAGACAAAAATGATTACATGAGGTTAGGAACTGCAGAGAATGAAAATTTACGTTCAATTTAAATTATACAGCAAAGAAAATTACTGTGGCTAAAATTGTGAGATAGAGAAAAATTGTATGAAGTAAAAAATTTGCAGAGCTAACAAAATTACATGGGTTTAATATTTGCCACACTTTATCAACGATTCAAGCAAAGAATTTACATGAAGTTAAATTATGCCACACTTTATCAACGATTCAAACAGAGAATTTAGATGACGCTAAATTATGCCATTATCCAAGTGATTGGTTACTTAAAACAATTAGCTTTGAGAGTTTATATCGTGGACTGTCCCCAGCCTATCCCAAACAAAGACATCATAAATAAACACAAGCGTCGCGAGAAAATATGTCTCGATGATATGATGATGATAACTGCCTAAGGGGAAAAATGTAATCCCCTTTCACGGTTAGGCCAATTTTAACTGCCGTAAATGAACTATTAGCAATCTTGTGTGAGGAATTAAGAAGTGTTATAACGTAACACTTAAGTATAAGCATCCAGAAACCTTATTTATAACTTGATAAACAAAGGATGAGTCCTAACTAAGTGAGTTTCAGGAAATCTCTTAGCAAGTGCTTTATCTGAACATTGTCAGTGATGACCCTTAAATTATGTTAGAACTAGTTAACGATTAAAATCCTAACATGAACTGTGAATTTACAAACAATAAAACAAATTTATACCACGTATTAGCGTCGGTCGAAAATTCGCATATTTCCGTTTGGAAAAACCGCAAGAAATAGCTACGCGTGCTGGGGAAACTGTGGCGTCGTCATCGTTGCGATTAATTGTTGTTAAACAAAGGCTTCCTCCCTTTTTCCAACTACCAAAACCAACTAAACTTATTCTAGCTTCCGCGTCCTTTCATTCACCAAAACAGACAACAGTGACGCGCCACCTACCCTCTACCTAATAAGTAAACTTCACTACCAACCCTCTACCTACAAATTCCCTATCAGAACTACGAACTGCCGAAAAGGAACTAAACTTGCACATGGTTGCCTATATTTAACAATTTTCTTGATTTGATTTTTTTTATTCAAATTATTCAAATGTGATTTCACCACAACAAACAAAACAGAAAATTCAGTTGGAGATGTAGGGACCGATTAGTAACTAAAATGCGGAAAAATTACAGCTCAATTAAACTGTTCTTTTTTAGAGAATGTGGTTGGTACGTTGCGGTTAGTGAAAATTTAGTCCTAAAACTGATAGAGCTACTGCTAAATCCCAGAAGTGCATTTGCTGAGCGTCAATATATATTTGGTTATAGTGGAGTTGGTGATTTTATGGAACTGCAGTTTCATATGCGAATACATTTTTTTTCTTTTGCTTACACAAGTTAAAATGTGAGGAGTCTTGCTGTTAAGTCGAAATTCGGTGCAGCAAGGATGTTTGTTCAGTCGAGTTTCTAAAAATTGGTCCAATAGACTGTAATTTAAAATTTACTTCCACCTTTTGCTTGAAATTAAAATACTCTTTACTTTTAATTTGTAAGTATGTAGTAATAATTTGAAACATCGTCAGGCTTCGGCGATGTTTCAATGTTACCATATTAATTGTTCTAATTCTTTGTCCTTGTAAAATACCTGATTTTAGAAAAAATATATACTTATATATATTAATAAAAGATAAGATTATTTTTAAGATATCGCCACTAACTAACTAACTACGTAATCAGTTTATATCTTGTCTATGAGTTAGCAATGAGTGTGTTCTAGGTAAGTAATAGAGTTTTTTCGACATTTCGCAGCTGCTAGAATATGACAAATTAGGTCTCTCATTTTCACTTCTCTGTTGTCTGTCGATTATTTTTACAGACAGAAACTAATAAAATGATCACTGTCCAACTTTAAATATGGATTCTATCCAAAACGTTGTTGATGTTATTGCATAATTTTATTAACAACATGGCTCTTGAAATATATAACGCAGCATGCTCGTTTACTTTTACTTTACTAATTTATTCCTATATTTTTATATGGAAATAATAAGATGCAAACAAATTAGGAACATATTTCTAACATGACTGCCAATCAACTCAAATAGAATAATTCGTTACCCAAATTGAATTGCATAATTCTAAAGTAACTGTAAAATGTTGCTTATATTTTGTTTTTTGTAGACGTCAAAAATAATGGAAGATTTAGTAATCGGTATTGACTTGGGCACAACAAATTGCTGTGCTTCAGTATACCTTAATGACCAAACGAAGGTATTAGAAAATGATAGCGGACAACGTATTACGCCATCTTTCGTCTTTTTTACTGATTTGGATACGGTACTGGTCGGAGAACATGCTAAAGGAATGGCCGAAAGCAAACCTAAAAATGGAATATACGGTATTAGTTTCCCAAAATTTTATTTCAGCTTTAATATAGGCAGTTTTCTAGCTCTGAAACGACTGATCGGCAAAAAATATGGTGAAGCTAAAATCCAACACAAACTTAATTATCTTCCTTTCCAAATAGAATCTAATAGTTCTGATGACCCTGTGATTGTAATACAACAACAAAACAAAATTCTGAAAAAGACTCCACAAGAATTATGTACCGTTATCCTGGAAAAACTAAAAAAGGATGTTGAGAAAAAATTAGAACAGGAAGTGAATAAAGTGGTGATTACTGTTCCTGCATACTTTAATATTATACAAAGAGAAGCAACTTTGGCCGCTGCTAAAGATGCCGGTTTTACTGTGTTAAAGTTGCTAAACGAACCAACGGCTGCTGCTTTGATTTATTATCACGAAAATAACAGTAGCGAGTCGAATTATTCGTTGGTATACGATTTGGGGGGTGGCACATTTGATGTTGCGGTTTTAAAAAGGAACAAACACAATATTGAAATTGTTTGTGTAAATGGAGATACAAATTTAGGTGGCCAAGATTTTGATAATCTGCTCGTGGATTATGTGTCGGAAAAATTAAAAGAACTGTATAATTTTGATCCTAAAGAAAGAGATGAAGATGTAACCATATTACGCGATAAATGTGTAGCTGCGAAGAAAACCTTATCATTTGTGGAGCAGACTACAATTAGTCTCATTAGTTTTGTTGAAAATCAACGAAAAGTTGATATACATTTAAAACGAGAAGAATTCGAAAACATTGCTAATGATTTATTCCGAAGAACAATACAAATAGTTGATAATTGTCTAAAAGATTCTGAAATTCCAAAAGATACTATAGACGAGGTAATTCTGTCTGGTGGTTCTACACGCATACCAAAAATTCAGAATATGCTTTCCGATTATTTTGAAGGGAAAAAACTAAACAAGTTTGTGAATCCTGACGAATGTGTAGCAGAAGGAGCAGCAATTCAGGCGGCCATGTTATCTAAAAACTCAAAGCAAAAGATCACCAAAATTCGACTGACGGATGTGATTCCTTTATCAATTGGTACCGAAGATCTTGTTAATCGAATGGTTTTTTTGATAAAAAGAAATACATCTACACCAGCTTCCGGCACATCCACTTTTACTACAACTGCACATAATCAGTCAGGTGTGTTGATTACAATATACGAAGGTGAACGTTCAAATGTAAAAAATAATCGAATTTTGGGTGAAATGACCTTAACTGATTTAACACCAGCGCCTCCAGGTGAGTGCAAAGTAACGATTTCACTGGACGTTGACGAGAGTGGAATTTTAACGGTCAGTGCACAAGAACAAAGGCAACACGGAGAAAATAGTAAAGAACTTAAAATAAATTACGTCAGAGGAATCAGAAGCGAAGAAGAGGTTAAAAATACTCTAACTGACGCAGAAGAAAGCAAGGAAGAGGACGAGCGCTTCGAAAGATTTGCCGAAAGAAATAGTTATTTAATCAGATACTGTGAAGGTTGTTTGTACAATTTAGATGCTAAAAATATTAGGGAGAAATACAGAAGTATTTACGAAGCATGCAGAGAAACTAGAAACAAGGCTGTGTTACTAAACCCCCAAGAAGAAGACATCGTCGAAGAGCTAACGAAAAATATCAAAACGCAATGCGAACATATAGTTAAAGAGTTAAATTTTGATTGTATGCCCCATTTTATTGATATAGCCGACTTGTTGAAAAATATTTTTGGTAATATGATGCTCTCCGGTTCTGAAGATTTGCATACTGTCAAAGGTTAAGACGTAAACGGGGAACTTGCTGTCGCCGTGTCACAGTCGTTAGGTTTAAATTGTAATCTTCATTACTCTAAAAAAATGTCATAGTAATATTGATAAATATTTAAAAAGCGGTAACTCCATATGTGACGGGTGTGGCAAAATCTAGAAGATTTATATATTTTTACCAAATTAGAGACGTTTTAAAGCAGAGAGGGCAGATAAATTATTTTTTTCAGTCTAAACCACCATCATACTTTAACGGCTTTTACATAACTGTTATATTTGTTGCACTGTAACGTATATATTTTAGCTATTGTTCTGCTTTTAAATGTCTTTAGTTTATAAATGTTCTGTCAATTTGTCACACCGTTGACAAATGGAAACACCCAAAAAGGAGACGTAAGTGTTTTAGTAAATATATTTTATAGGTATGTAAATAATAAAAAATTAATACAGCAATAGTTATTTATTTACAGTTAGCTAGGCATGAACTTTGCATATAGCCTACGCAAAAAACAAAGAAATTAGATACTACCGATTAATTAGTTATTTTGTATTTTTTCACAGATCACAGTACACAAATATGCAAAGTGAGTCAGCTTAAGACATCCTTCTTAATGTCTTATTAATTTTCAGGGAATAGGAAAACAATCAATATTGAATTTGCACCTTTCATTATGCAGCAAAGACTAAAATTACAACTATAGAGAGTATTTTTTTGTTGAGGAACAACATGCAATTATTTGCTTTCTTTAAAACAGCCCTCTGTATGTTTCTAGAACTCTTAACTGATCCCTTCATAAACTTAATTCAGCTTTATTTTTATGATTCTTTTCCAACACTGCCAAGTTTTGCAAGTTTTCTTGTTTCTTTACGTCCCGAGGGTAAGCTGAGGGAATATTGTAATAGGATTTATATTGCGAATGGTTAACTTCATGCTTTCTCTGCATTTCATGAAGAAAAAACTAGATTTTGCTTTTCCGACTATCCGATATTTATTAGATACATCAATTCCGAAACTGCTGTCTGGATGGTTACAAAAATTTGTCTAATCATTCCCAATAATAATTTGTGATGTCAACTCAAAATTTTACAACGTAATAGTAGTACAGATAGAAACTATTGTAATTCTCGCTATTATTACGTACATCAGATGTGAAGACAGGGATAACTTTATTGAATTTCCAAGTATTAGGATATATAGCTTCTGCAATAATTAAATTACACAAGTGGCAACGAGGTTCACATAAACAAGAAAATACTTTTACGAGAAAAGCAGACACATTAATTATTATTAGGACTCATAGTGAAATTAGATTTGACTTTTTTGACACCATTCAAAATATCATAGGTAATTATCATAAACTTGTGTAAAACGTTCACCATATCACTTTTTCTACCACAGATTGGAAAACTGTCACAGATATTATCACCATTAAAGAAGTTACTGAAATGAGTCGTGAAATTATTGACGATTTCTTATGGATCAGTTACTTCAATATCTTTATCGAACACATGATCTGAGATATTCGAGACATTTTTCTTTTGATTAATATACCCACTATTTTTTTGAGTCTTGCTTGATATTCATTTCCGCTGATACTTACTATAAGGTTGATATATGCCGCTCTGATTTCTTTCTTAATGAGTCTTCTAAGCTCATTAACTTGTGATAATACTCTTTCAAATTTGTCGTTTTAGTAGCTCTTTCATAATTAATGCTTACGTTACTAAAACAGTCAATGGTAGATGATGTACACCAACAGGATACTATATCGTTGTTATAATCGGATTCTTGGGAATGAATCTATCTAAAAGCTCATAAAGAATAGAACCGAAATAGTCGCAAGCAACATTGACATCTTGGATAACTAGTAGTTAAGATCAATCTGTTATTCAAGTATCTATAGAGCTCTATATAATTTCTTTTACGAACATGATATTTGATCTTAACTCCCAAAAAGTTGATCTACGATTCTTTCAAATTAGCTACAAGAATTTTTAGAATGATAGATACCGCAGGTTGGTGAGCATCACCATATTCAACTACTGGAATATCAGACTGCATCACAGTACATTTCAAATGCTTAGAACAAAAGATTAAGTCTAAGTGGCAATAGTTACTGTTGAAAAGAATAATAAAAGTTGTAATATTTGGGGATGCTAAAATCACCTACTATTAAGGTTTTTTCAAATAGAAGATACTCATTCTTCAAGTACTCAAAAATTTCTTCATAACTATCATAACAGACAATAAAATTAACGTTTGAACCTTGATTCCAATTAAATCAGCATCTGCACAGTAGTTCCAAAGATATTTGGAAACAGAATTAAGCACATTATGAGTGTCATTAGTCCCTGGTTAACCTTCAACTGCCTGCTATTGAGCTTAATTCTCATAAAAGTACCAGAGTAAAATCCCGATTTAACTAGTTATAAATTATCCTTACGTCTATATACTTATCGCTAGTGAATCAATTGGATCTTGGGCAGACGAGACTATTACTATGTACGTAGTTTATCTTGCTTATATTTATTTAAGCTTACACAAGAACGTATCTTGATGTTATCATTACTACTATTGGTCACTACTACATTTTGATAGCGAGACATATCATCTTCTTTTCGGGTTGCAAATGATTCTTCCTAAGATTCAGGCATATTAAACAGAATTAGATTATAATCTACTGAGGGCAGAAATTATCGGACTAATAATTATTAGTCCGATAATTTCTGCCCTCAGTTACAGCGATTATTTCTTCATCACATAGTTTATTTCCAGAATCTCGCTCAGTACATTACTTCCACTCTTTTTTAGTTCAACCAGCTCATCTTTTAAAACGTCAATTTTTTTCATATTGTTTTTTCATAATGTTTTTTTCCGCTACTGGACCGAAAATATTCAATTTCTAACCTGGAAAGACCTGCACTCTTCGTGTGCATATCCTTTCCACAGATGTTACATACATACAAACACCACTGCGGCTTCAATTATTTCCATTGAAGCCGCGAGAGGCAAACCTACTGTTTCTAATAATTCTAAAATGCTTATTTCCTTCATAGGATTGAAATGTTGACTGTAAAATATAGCCGCCTTAACCTATGATCCCCAGCGCGTTAGTACAGGTTGTCTGGCATTGTTAAATTTTTTAGTTTTCCCTATAAACTTCCACAAGTAAAGGAGCTTTGACAAAAATTTTCTTCACATCTGATATCAAAATAGCTGCATCTTCGAACTGATGCCAAATTTTTTCAAACAATGGTCCAACGCAGGAGCCAAGCAAGTCGCGTGCATCATTTGGGGATGAAATACTTTTAGGTGTATGTGACTATAGAAGCCACTCCATCGGTTACAAAAATTTATTAACTATGTACTTAGAGGTTCATGTACAAATCAGGCAATCGTCGCATGATTGTTTTTTTTTTAGCTGCTTGCGAACTAGAAGATAAGATTATCCAACTTCATCATCCGATAATAATTTACTGACGATACAATTGGCAATATACCTTCCAAGTGCCTCAATCGTTTCATCTACTGACAACCACTGATATGAAAAATCTCGAATACTCACAATGATATCTAATTGTTTAAATAATTGACATTCAAAAAGTGGTGCTAAAAGAGTATGCCACAATTACCTACTCACATTTTTGAAGTACTGTGGAAAGGAATTCTTGCGTAAAGTTGATTGAAAATTTGACTAATCACCCCCACCAATAATTTGATAACGTTTGTTCATTATATTGTATAATCAACATTACCGACTTTGTATATAATAATATACTTCTGTACTTGTAGTTTACGAATCTCATCTTAATTGTATTTATTACTGCTATATTTGTTCATTGTTTAAAGCGTCTTGTTCTTTGCCAACATAATACCCAACCTTCGTATAACAGATAATCAACTTAATGGGAAAATTCTTGCTTCACAGAAGTGACGTCGATGGTATGAAACCAGCGGCCGGCGTACATTTTTTTTAATTACAATACTTTAAAATAAATTTAATAAAATTAATCACTCATTCATTATTTGTTGATGAGATGATTTTCTCGAAAATATAACAGTAGAACAATTATAAAGTAAGAATGATAGTTAATAGCATTCAGAATATTTTGGTTAATTGAGGCTTATTAATAATTTTATTCCCCTGCTTTGAGACGACAACTCATTCAAATCAAACAAATGTCAGCGTGACATTCTTCCGATGTATAAACATAAACATTTCAAGCACTACGCATGTTGCTGAGGGAGACCACTTTTCCCGTTGGTTATCTGCTATAAATATACTTATTTTACAATCTCCGTACTCGTCTTTGCCTGATCGTTTGTTGACACATATGATCTCGAGATTGTGTAAAATGCAAAACCGGACGTTCCAGTAATTTATGACTTGCCGCCAATCAGCCACCTGCATAAAGAGCTGACGGCTGACTGCCATGTTTTTTTTCAGTATCGTTTCTCATTCTTATTTTGCTTTCCTATTCGTTTAGTAATTTTAAAAGCGTGCTATAACTTCTACCCATTTATCAGCGAATCTAATTGTTTGTTACAAATTAAAAAAATCAGTGCTTACGGTGTTCATATAATTACCTCGGTTTTGTCCAAAATTAACAGAACTTATTCATTAGATATTAGATTAGATAATATATCTATGCGCAAATATTATCTCAGTGGAAGCTAAAAAGGAAACTCAAGTTTCAACATAAACAGGAGTTGGTAAAATGTCGTAGAGTAATCACAAGTTTTGTTGCACCTCAGCCTTCTCCTTTCTTGTTTTTTTTTTTACATATATTTATTAAATTATTGACAACATGTAAATTACATTTTCTAACTAACTTCCATTCATAATAGGAAAAAAAGGGTCCTCAATAAATGTAGCATAAGAACCTAGATCCCCTCCTAGGTGTTCCTTTGGAATTTGCGCCCCCACGGAGCCAAGGGTTTATAATTTTTCAAAGAGAGGTGATTTGTAGGACTTATACTTCAGGCGCGAGGGTAGTTCTGTCGAAATAAACTTAAACCTAAAATTATAAAAAAGAGACTTGCATATACATTAAACAATAATTATTCTTTTCTCAATATTACCAGCTTTCCACAAACTTTATAAAAAACTTCACCATTAAATTTTACTTCATAGTCTTTTTTGGTTCCCCACAGTGATATTTTTTTTTCCACACTTGTTATATATTTAGGCACTTTAGGCACTCGCACCATTCACTATTAATTAAAAAAAGCTCTTTTAGTATCCCTACATTGTTTCTTGTATGAACGTCTAGAATTTAAACAGAAGAGCCGTACAAGTTTTGGAAGAATTTTATCGTTTTATTACTCCAACATTCGATCTTCGATCTTTGTTTCCGAGTAGGCACGCATATCAACCATGTTTCAGAATGGGTTCGTAACAAAGAGAAACTTTACAAATTCTAGTATTTATAGTTTTAGGAATGTTTAAGTATGTAAAACACAAAATAGGCACGTAACCATATAAGGTTTGTAAAACATGTCTTAAAAAATAAAAATAATCCATTTTGCCTAAAATCCGGGGCTTACTCATTACATTTATAAACTTGCGAATGCGACAAAAATGATCTGGTCACATCAAAAGCGCGTGACCTTTATTCAAGTGAATTTTCGTTATTCGAAGATTGGAAATCGAAAAATGAAACCAAAAATTGATCAAAGGTTGTTTCGACAGAACTTCCCTCGCACCTGAAGTACAATGAAACATTTTTGAAAAACTATAAAATTTGTTGTTGCGATTTTTTTCATGAGAGCCCCTATAATTTGAAATAAACATACCTTATGCATGTAATGTTAAAGTAAATGTAAAGAAATGTGTTACGTATGTTTCCAAGGAGTCAGATGTACAAGGACACCATTGTTATACCCATGTATAAGTAAAAGAGCACCATGATTTTATTTTATTTATTTTATTTATTTATTCAACGGGAATACCCCTTATAATACATACAATTAATGGTAATTGAAACAAAAAGATCCAGAAGGACATATAAATTAACAATAACACAAAAATAAATAAAAGTTAACTTCCAAAAAAAAAACAAAAAAGATAAAATAATTTGAGTAAATAAATATACATAAATTTAACAAAACATTTTCTAACATACAGAATAGAATATAATATTTTCTCCAACAAGTTTAGAAGCAAGCTAAGAGGTTAGCGCAAATTTCTTACACTATTCCTAAACTTCGCTTTGGTTGTATTAAACAACAAAAATTCATCATGACTTACCAGCCGATTAACCTGTCTCCTCATACGCAACAGTGGGTGATTTCCAGCTCTGGGAGAGTTATACAAAGAGACACGAAACAGAACTACACTACGTGTGTTTCTAGAGTTAATTGGGGCAACCCAAAATAATAGTTGACTAAATAAATGAGGATTATTATCAATGATAATGAGGCTTAAAAGTAAGTCTAAAATCAAAAAATGTCTGAAGGGATGGATAGTTTTTCCAGATTCTCATTTGGGAATATTAAAACACTAATTTCCAGTATTCAAGATTTATTTGTAAACACTGATGCACTTTGGCAAATTATTTGTAAAAAAATATCACCGTTGATTGGAAGAGGGAAAGGGATTTCGTACTGATTTTGAGTGTGTACGGAGCGACGTTATTGTGATTTCGACGATTTAACATATGAGAGAAAGACCGAATGAGCCAATAAGTAGCGATTTTGTTAAGGAATAGATTTATTATCGTCGTTTTGAAAAGTTCCATTAAATTTTGCTCCAGATATCAATATATAAATTTTTTTTAGAATTTTAGATCAGTCACAATAATTATTACAATCTTATATCTCAAATCTTTTTATCTACCGAGTATCTGTCGTTATTCCTAATTTTATTTTAGACAATTTAAGTTGCTAAGTGTACTTAGTTTTTAATTCAGTTTTGTTTAACGTAGATTCAATAATAGACTCCGGTCCTAAGGTAAAACCGAGAAATTTGTAAATTTATATATCGTGTAACAACAAGCTCTAAACCGTTAACGAACCACTACAACAAAACAACAACTGACTTGTAACTTTGGAGTAATTGCCACACCATTCTATTTGATTAATAGTATATATATATATAAGTACTATCTCACTACCCAACTCTTCTTGTTAATTAAACAAATCTAAAGAAACGTTAATAATGATTATAATGAGATTATAGTGTACGGGTATAAAAGAACAAAACATTTATTTTACAATCACGTATTTAGCTAAGAAACTAGAAATGTAGAAAACGTAATAACGAGTCCTGTCCTGAGTATCGTTTCTAGGATTTTCTAGGTAAACCACCCGGCCACCGGCAAACGAGGTGGGGTCGTCTTTGTTGCTTAATTTTTATGACCTCCACGTCCGGTGGTAGTTTGCAAAAACTATACGCAGAATGTGAGGTTATGACACCATGTGTTCTTTGGTGTACATCGACGAATAAAAGTTTACATATTGTCCATTCTGAACACATTTACGGAGTAAATTAGTCAGTAAAGGAACATATAGGTACAATGTTCTGTGAAGAAACAGATTTTCTATATAGTGGCACTGATAGTAACTAACTGTAAGTAAATAACTATTGCTCTAGACATTACTTTATTATTTACATATAAAACACATTAACTATTATACTATGGGATAGTGAAGACTCAACTTTAAACGTTAAGAGTGTCAGGCAGTTAAATGAGTTCCCATTTATGATTTAATCATTGACATTTTCAAATTTTTCCGCAGTATAGAGCATAAAATTACGAAGAAGAGCGTCCAAAAAGTTCGCCAAATCCATAAAGTAAGGCATAAATTCAAAATTATGCTCTTTAACTATTTGTTCGCACTGCAATCTGATATTTGTTATTAGCTCTTCGACGATGTCTTCTTCTTGAAGGTTAAGTAATTCCGCCTTTTTCTTAGTTTCTTTGCATGCTTCGTAGATACTTCTGTATTTCTCGGTAATATTTTTAGCATCGAAATTGTACAAACACTTTTGACAGTAATTGATCAAATAACTTTTTTTTTTGGCAAATCTTATAAAGCGTTCGTCTTCTTTCTTGCATTCTTCTGCATCAGTCAATGTGTTTCTAATCTCATCCTCGGTTCTGATATCCCTGTCATAATTTATTTTAATTTCTATACTATTTTCGCCGTGTTGCCTTTCTTCTTGTGCACTGATTGTTAAAATTCCATTCTCGTCAACCTTCATGGATATATTTACTCTGCATTGACCTGGAGGAGCTGGTGTTAAGTCGCTTAAAGTTAATTTACCCAAAAGTCGATTATTGTTTACATTTGCACGTTCACCTTCATATACGCTAATCAACGCACTTGCCTGATTATTTTCACCAGTAATGAAAGTGGATGTGCCGAAAGCTGGTCTCGATGTATTTCTTTTTATCAAAAAAACCATTTGGTCAACCGCGTTGTCAATCCCAATTGATAATGGAATCACATCAATCAGTCGAATTTTGGTGATCTTTTGCTTTGAGTTTTTAGATAACATGGCCGCCTGAATAGCTGCTCCTTCCGCTACACATTCGTCAGGATTCACAAATTTGTTTAGTTTTTTTCCTTCAAAATAATCGGAAAGCATATTCTGAATTTTTGGTATGCGAGTAGATCCACCTGACAGAATTACTTCATCTATTGCATCTTTTGAAATTTCAGAAGCTTTTACACAATTATCAACTATTCGTATTGTTCTTTTGAACAGATCATTAGCAATGGTTTCGAATTCTTCTCGCTTCAAAGGTATATCAACTTTTCGATGATTTTCGACGAAACCATTGAGAGTGATTGTGGTCTGCTCCACAAATGATAAAGTTTTTTTCGCAGCTACACATTTCTCACGTAATATAAATAAATCTTCTTCTCTTTTTTTTGGATTAAAATTATACAGGATTTTCAATTTTTCTGATACGTAATCCACAAGCAAATTATCAAAATCTTGTCCACCCAAGTTTGTGTCTCCATTTACAGAAATAGTTTCAATATTGTGCCCACTTTTCTTTAAAATTGCAACATCAAATGTTCCTCCTCCCAAATCGTACACCAATGAATAATTCGTTTCGGTACATTTGTTTTCGTGGTAGTAAATCAAAGCAGCAGCTGTTGGTTCGTTGAGCAACTTTAACACAGAAAAGCCAGCAATTTTAGCAGCTGCCAATGTGGCTTCCCTTTGTGTAACATTAAAGTATGCAGGAACTGTAATCACCACTTTATTCACTTCCTCTCCAAATTTGTCCTCAACATTTTTTTTTAGTTTTCCAAGGATAATGGAACATAGTTCTTCTGGAGTCTTCTTCAAAATTCTGTTTTGTGATTTTAGTACAATTACAGGGTCATTGGAACTACTGGATTCCATTTGGAAAGGAAGACAACTTAGTTTGTGTTGGATGCGCGCTTCGCCATATTTTTTAGCGATCAGTCGTTTTAGAGCTGGAAAACTTTCTTATATTAAAGCTGAAATATAGAAATTTCATGAATCAATACCAAATATTCCATTTTTAGGTGTGTTTACCGCCAGTCCCTTAGCATGTTCTCCTACTACTACCGTATCCGAATCACAAAAAAACACAAAAGATGGCGTAAGACGGTCTCCAGAATCATTTTCTAATACCTTGGCTTGATTATTAAGGTATACCGAAACACAACTATTTGTCGTACCCAGGTCAATACCAATTACTAAATCTTCCATTCTTCCCAGTGTCTACAAAAAACAATTAGTAAACAATAATGATTTTTATATCAATGGAATGACGAAAAGGGAAGAAAACAAGACAAACGCTATATTGAAAATGCACGTTTCAGAACGCAAAATATAGAATGCGAACGATTTTAAGACGATTCTATAATCTTTAAAAAGTGTGGGTATTTGTAAAGGGTCATAAAAAAAACCTTATATTTACTAGTTGATCGTCTTTTTTCGGAAACATAGGGTCTAGAAAACCACCAGGTATGTGCAGTGTCGTTCAGTTATTTCTGAGTTAATGGACGGATCCCAGGTTAGAAAATGTTTAAGTAGTAGCCGATGGTGGGCATTTTCATAGCTTTTAGTATTTATTTTATATAGATAACTTATAGATAAACACATTAACAAACGACATTAATTTAACTTTGCATCAGCTCACTTCCTAATCTAATTTTTTGGGACATCGTGTCAATGTAAATAGATAAATACACATACGTTTTAGTGATGAAACACGATCAAAAAGTAATTAGATTGTTTTTTATCGCTTGTCATGTTCAGACAGGTAACGTGTGGATAAATTTTAAGAGCGTGGGAAGACTTCATTTCATTAGAACTAGGGAAAGGTTGTCTGTGTTGAGTTCAGAGATAGATATTTGTTTTAGACGGCGAATAGTGAGGAGGAAGAGAATAGGTATAGGGCATAGGATGAGGAAAGACTGCAGGATGTGTTTAGAAGTTCGAGAAACGGTGGAGTATATATTGAAAGAACGTACAAAAATGAAACATAGACGGGAGAGTGGGGAAGAAGTGCTGTATGAAGATGGGAGAGGAATTGAGTGGATGAAAGAGGTATGAAAGAGATGAGAAGACAAGGGAAAAGGGGGGGGAAGAAGTCAAAGACGATGTAGTTAATTTAATTTAAAATATTCTAAATGTTTAGAACAAAATTAAACGTAACCAATCTGTTTAAGCCCGTAGGGCAAAATAAATTTGATTTGACTGATTGATATAATGTGAGGAGTGAATATTGAGTTTGTATTAATATTTCCTGTGTAGCCTTTTTTATTGGATTATTGACATACTTAATAGAATCTTTGTTACATACCTAGACCCTGTTCAGTACTAACTCATGATAAAGATAAAAACTTACTGCGCATTTGGCAGCGCTATCGTAAAAACAATCTAATCTTTGATTAGTAATTAATGTATTTATTTTTTTTTACAGATTACAAGGATTTTGGATCAAGTAGTACTAGACTTCTACTGTAAAATTCTATTCCAAATTTTCCGTGTTTCATAGCCCCTTCATTCTGAATAATACTATGTTGTAATATCGTATTGCCCAAAATTCTTCGAGATGATGAAGGAAACAGCCAAACGTTTTCTAAAAATTTTTAGACCGGGTTAAATTAAATAGTTGACAGCGATTGAATTTTTAAGACGGTGTTAATGTACCACGTGACTGACGCTACGCCAATCAGACGTCGCTAAACTTCGTTAAATGCGAAACTGAATCTCTGTTAAAATATTGTAAAAACGGGCCCTTAGAGTCTAAAATAATCAACAAATCTTTTAACTAAACTACTTAAACATTTTCGATTGTTACGAAATTTTTCTGGTATCTTAAGATATTAATATTTTTATCGCTTTATCTTGTTATCTACGAAAAGTTCTATTTCAATAAACAGTGCGTTACACCAGTAATAGAACTCATATTTGCGAAAAGTGTTCAATAAGTTATTAACCGAAGGCAAGTAATAGGTAAAACTATTGTTAAATACAAATAGAATTAAGATGGAATTTTTAGAAATAAATTTATTATTATTAACTTAAATTAATGTTGATATTTCGACTACTTTCAACGTTAATAGAGTGAAACTTTAGTGCGTCTCTGTTTTCTTCAAATAACACTCATAAAAGCTAAAAACGCCCAGTTTCTAACCCTAGTAATTATTGATCAAAAAAAAAAAACTTTTAATTGTATTTCTTCCTCCTTAAAATAAAAATTATTCGTGTAGCGTTAAAGTGAAGATTAAATAAATAGATAAATTTTGATTAAAGAGTTGCCATGTTTACGATAACCTTATAAACATTTTAAGGTTATCGTAAATTCGGAGTTAAAAAAAATTAAAACATAAAACATTAACTGGTTGATATGTACCTAAATATATACAAAGTCGCGCTTTTAATCTTTGTTATCGTGGTCTCTCTTCTCCTAGGTCCCACATGCAGTGGGAAAACAAAATGTGATAAACGTTTTTTCATTCAAGCATTAAACTTGTTATATACCGATTTTGAATATTTTGGTATTTTCATATAGATAATGGCAAACTACGAGTACACTGTCCAATTTGTTAGTTAAACCTATTCAAGGAAAATTGCATTTTATCACCGATTCAAAATTTGTAGTAATCGCTAACGTCTTCGATATATTTACAGAATGTAATATCTCTGTTACTAATAGACCTATTGTTATGAAATTTTGAAACCAACAGTTTATCTTCTTCTTTTTAGCATTTTGGAGAAATTTTTCACCACATATTTTTAAAAAGCAATGTCTCTATTATTGTTGGAAAGTTTGCAACGAAGTTTTCACCACTGTTTTCAGCTTACAGAACTCTATATGTTACCCGGGTAACAACGGCGTTTTTTTTGTCGGAAATGATACACATTGAAAAGGAACTTGTGTGGAAGAAGATCCTTCCACCGTATTTAATTTTTAACAAAAGAAATTGATAATGTTTTCCACGTAACGTATAAAGCTTTGTAGCCTGAAAACGGTGGTGAAAGCCGCGTTCTGAAATTTCCATAAATAATTGAGATATTTATTTTCAAAAATACGTGACGAACAATTTCATCAAAACTTAAAAAAAATAATGATGGTAAACTATTTTTAAAAAACTGCCATTGTGCTACATGAAGTAATTTGTGAACAATTTGTGTTTAAAACTTCATAGCAATAAGTCTGTTAAGAACGGAGATATTACATTCTGAAAATGTAATGAAAACCCCGCAAGTGAAAATGGTCGCCTTAAGACTTTTACCTTTTAGAATATGGATATCAAAATCAAGTTTAAAACCCCCATGTAATTCCTCGTTAAAAAAATGTTACAACTAATATTGTTCAATTTTATACGCTGTTTAAAACAGCCACACTACATTTCGGACAAGTGTGAATTATGTTGTGTAGTAGTTACAGTGGTAACATTGAGTTCATACTGCAAGTTTAAAGGATTCATAAAAGATTATAAACAAGGTAGGAAGACGTTTTATTTTATTATTTTCCCATATGCTGCGGATAATGGAAGATTTCAAGCTAAGATCGTAAGATCTAAAAAAAATACTGGAGGTACCCATCTTTTGTGTTTTTCACGAATTTGGAGAAAGTAATACCAGTGGAAGAACATGCTAAGGAAGTGGAAGTAGTCGAAAACAAACCTGAGAATGGAATATTTGGTATCATTTTCTCAAAATTTTATGTCAATTTTAATATGTGAAACTTTTCTAGCTATAAAACAATTGATTTGTAAAATGATAGTAAAACATCCACAGAAAGCTCATTTACCATAATTAATAAATACTGGCTTCAACTTTATCGAAAATACGTCGGTTACGTCGAGATAATATGTCTGAAAATCATTTTTTCTTGAAATATATCACCGGAAAATGCACTCGGAATGTGATGGACATTCATAAGATTGGAAGTGTAGGAAAATAAGTGGCATTGTACTTCAGTCTTCCCAACGTGAAAGAGTTCAGTGGCCACTGATTAAGAAGAACTTCGCAACAATGTTGGCGGATAGCGCTGGTGAGAGGAAGGATACATTGAAGAATCTGTGAAGAACCAAAACGATATTGCTATTAAGATTCTTGAGACTGAAACCTTCATTTAGTACAAACCAGTTTCCCAGTCATTGGAATATCCGAAAAGAATCAAATTCAGATTGAATGTATCCCAAACCACCTAAAAACCAACATTTATGCAACTCAACGCTGGCGCTGGTCCAAAAAGTCGTTCGGTCTATACCAATGAGTTCTCAAGACAGTTCAAGTGCCGGTAAAAGTGGATTTTTTCAAAATGATACAATATATACCTGTACTTTTAATTGTAATAAATAGTTATTAGATTCGCCTATACCTTGATGTAATTAGAGCTTAGTTTGGCAATAATAAAAACATGCAGTATTAATCCATTCACAGATTTTTTGATCTTCATATAATATTTTGTTTACATATACATATTTCGGCGGAGCATAAGTTGTATTTATATGGCGCTCAAAAATGCTGTCATAGTAATCAGACTTAAGCTCCACTATGAGCGTCAATTAAGTATATGACGTTTGAAAATAAAATAATTGCCACGTTTTTTCGAACTATTGTTTAAAGAAAACAGCTTGCAAAAAAAAATGGTTGAATGTTATTTCGACAGAACTTCCCTTGCCCTTAAAGTAAATTGGAACAAAATAAAGTAAAGCAGAGAAGAATTATTATTAAAATGTAACTTTGAATATTTTATTTATTTTTTTTAATGATGACACGTGTGAATTGAAATTAATACATGTGTCGATTGTTAAAGTACAGGTAAAGAAGCATCGTATGCATATATTTCTAGTGAGTTTTAACATGTAAACATTTTTTTATGACGTCTTCAATATTTTAGTAAGAATAATAATACCACTAATAAAACAGTAATCTCTCCCCTAAATCGGGAAATGGCATGCGCAATAAAACATGTCACCTCATTCATTAATCTATCATCTTGTAAAAGCAATTCTAAAAAATTGGTGGAAGGTTATTTCGACAGAACTTCCTTCAGTCCTGAAGTACAATAAAACATATCTGACTTTTTCGAAAAACTATAGATTTTGTGAATTTTATTTCTTACCCCTCTAAGTAAAAGTAAAAATAGGTATGTAATATTAAAGCAAATGTAAAGAAGTGTGCTATGTTTATGTCACAAATGAGTTTTTGCTTTACAAGTGATGTCATCAGTTCTGCTGGAGACATCAATACATATGTACTGTTACGACACCTTTTGTGCCGACCGACCTATGCGCTGGTGGAGATGGGGTATACAAAAAAGACGGTTAACTTACTTATTTCTAATGAAACAAGGAATACACTGGACGCGACACAGCGCCCTTCAAATCACAGATTAATTACCAAATTACACCTTAGCACCTTAGCTTAACATGTACACAGTGGGTCGCACACAGCGCCCTTTTTGATACGAATTACCACCATACAAGTTGCTTTCTCCCTCCTTTGTAGGTAAGTCCTGCGGGAGGATTCGTGGGGGGGAAAAATCTGGCACGGCGGTTCCTCTTGTTTTCGTGACGCCCCTTTGTCGGCTCAGTGGGACGAGTCGGGAGGTTTGGAGGCCTGAGGAATTCTTACGGTCTCCCCAATGGGGTTTTTCGTTCTTCTTCCCAAAAGAAACTAGTAACGCCACGTCGAAGAGGAAAAAGTTCTAGACAAAAAAAACAGAAAAGAAATCGAAAACTTGGCTGTCTGGTTCTCTCTTACACTCACTCGCACCCCCGGTAACTTTTCCGGGCTGTCGCTCCCCCAAAAGTTACAACCCCGTACTTTTTGCGTCCGCTGCCGACCGTTACTAGATTCTGTTTTAAACGCGATCTCGTCGGATGAGTTGCGGAAATTCCCGATTAGGCGACCAATCGCGCTTTCCCTGCTCAAAATGCCACTTGTTCACCGCAGTCTCTCACTTGCGCCTGACTCGCTGTTATCTAGGCAACCCCTTATTTTCGAACCGTAACAGTACATATAGTTTGATAAAAAAATTTAAGAAAAAAATTCAAACTGTATACCAATCGCTTATAAGCGCCCCTGTATATGGCGAGATCGTGGCATAGGGAGTAGAAGAGCACGAGGTGGAATACAAAAACACATGTGTGCGGATGCGTGAACTGTCGAGCGTTCGATTCCGCTTCATGTACCTTTATTTTTGATTTTTTACACAGTTGTTGCTGTTACCTATTACCTATATTCTTTTTTATGTTTATATAGGTTATCACAACTAAAATGCCGCAAAACCAAATTGTATAATCTTTCAAAGAAGCGGAACGTGTTGGAGCTGTACTTTAAGGGTACCCAGTCGTCGCCCGCAAAATCGGTTTCAGTGAGAAGAATTATTTTTTGTAACTATGCAACCCTAAGTACGCAGGTAGCGACCCAAGAGAGGAGAGATTATGGTCACTGTAGGGAGTCATTTTTTTTTAATTTTCCGATTTTCCAATTTTTCGATGTTTCGATTTTTCAATTATACGATTGTTCAATTTCTCGGTTTCGAAATTTTAGATTTTCCAATTTTATTTATTTTTTTATTTTTTCATGTTTAGACTATTTATTATTGCTAAAAATAAAAGTAAAAAATAACTACCAAAATTGTTACTAAAAATATGTAAAAATTAATAGAAAACAGAACACATTGCTGCTAAAACATAAAAGTAACTGTACTTGCCCAAAAAAATCTATTGCATGATTACTGTTCCACTAGTATTGCTAATTTAGGACGTTAGTATCAAACGCAATGAAAGTATTAATTCTTAGTTAAACAAAAAAATAGTTGAGTGTCAAAATCGAGTGAAACATGTGAGACGTGTGTAAACAAAAGCATCTAAATAATAACTAATTCCCGCAGAATTTCTGGAGGCTTATAGAGTCGACATTGGCCTGAGCGCGCTCCGGTCTGTGGATCATACAAGTTCTCGGATGACGATGTATGTAACAAGGCAGTTGAAATACCTAATATGTCACAGGGCAAAAAATATTTCTCAAAAAACTTTCAAACGTTGATGTCTCTTTAATCGAACAGAATTCAATTGGCGAACGCAATAATCCAGAATGGTGCTCGGAAAAATCCTTTAGACTAACCGAACGTTATTTTGGTAAAATTTGCAAAATGAGAGAACAAGTAACACGGCTAAATAAAACATTTTACATCCCTGCAAATCTAGTTCACCATGTACTCTCAAAAAATCTTTCCACAGCAAGGGCAACTGAAGCATTTTGCAGTAACATTAAACTGACAATAAGACAATGCGGTTTGTACATTTTTAGCGGCATCGCCAGGCGGCTTAATAAACAAAAACGCTATCGTAGAAATATATAAAATGTACAATTTAAATAATGCTTAATTCAACGAGATGATAAATTTTGGGAAAATAATATGATAGAGCCCTAGAAAATTTTTATTTATATGCCTTACTTCCGGAGAGAGTAGATTCTCGTCATTAAACAAGTCAACCCAGTAGACAAATTGTAAAGAAAGAATTGTACAATTAAAATTTTTTATTTGCATTCGCGTCATGTGTAGTTCATATAAATCTTTTGCCCTTCTAGTATAAAGACACACAGGAATAAATAGTAATATTCGAATAGGTTTACTGGAGATATCACGTAAAAAAAGTGCCTATAATACTCTACCTCATAGGTGGTGCGGAAAAGAGTATCAAAAAATTAAATTTAAATAAATGTGATTGTTCAGGTAAATAAGTGGTTAGTGAAGTGATGAGAATCTAAAAATTGTCAGTTTTGTGTATTGATTAATATATAAAATGACAGATTAATAAAAAATATTTGAATAATTCTTTCAAAGAAAATATTTCAGTAGAATATATAAAATTATAAAAATTTGCATACTTTTAAATCAAATTATGTCAGCCATGAAAGAATTCGACTTGTAAAAGAGTTTCAACAATGTTGGTCAGCTAAGAGTATTTATGAGTTTTATGACCTAAAGTATCTGAACTGATTACCTGAAAGGGTCGGTCGGCAAGGTGCCCTGCTGTGTAAAACTCAGCCATTTATTGAAACGGAAAACTTTGTAAATAGGGTTGCCTAGTTTCACTTTATTTTCATTAGTCAGTATTTTTTTAAAAAGCAAATATTTTGATAAATATAAATTTTAAACAAAAATGATCGAATCTTCCCTATAGAGCTCAATGTTGTCTTTGCACTGATATAAAAGTTGAAGCGAAAAATGCTCTCTCCTCGTCTAAAAATGCAAATTCCTTCGAAGAATGAACGATTAATTAAACACTAAACAATCACTTATTTTAAAAAATATTGTGTCTTCCCCAGAGATTTAGACATAATCTATCAATTGAAATGTCGATCTATTTTTCAAAGTTGAAATTACGCCCGTAAAATGAAAATCTATTTAGCTCATTTTTCGGTCTGCTACTGGGCACCTTTAAAGCTGTGCGGTCGAAATTTATTCATCCCCACTACCCGTCTGCAGTGCGCCCGGTGTAAACTTGCCCAACTCGCTTTTCGATATTACATTATTTTTGATAATTTACTTTTTCAGTCCCCATAAATAATGTATTTATTGCTTGAAAAAAAAGTATTCAAACCTTTTTTTGAAACATCCTTACGTAGTGGAGAAAAATGAAATAATATTTGAATTCATCTCTTAAAAATACGTAAGAATCAGCTTTTAAATTGAAAACAATTTTTCAAAAGGTAAAAAATGCAGGCCTGCGTTATTGGTGGCCAACTGTAGAACTGTATTGCTTCCACATAACCTTAGAAAATGTGTTTTACTATATGTATATATATACCCATTATGGCATCACAGTATAAGAGATTAAGAAATTCATGCGTGAGTGATTTGGTTTTAGGAACTTATTTTTTTTTTAACTAACTGTATGACTTTATTTTAGTAAACTTAATAACCTATATTTGTTTTACATTTTAAAATTACAGTTATGGGTATCATTTGGAGTTCTTTTTCTGAATGTTTTGAAGCAATATTTTCTCGTGAAGACACTACAAATTACAATGCTCATACTATAGAAAATAATCTAAACCAACTTATCAGTAAATTGCAAAAAGAGGAAGACGTTCACCAGATTGTAAAAAAATATATTTTGAATGTATTACACATTTATGGAATCAAGAGTGAAAAATTAAAGCGACAAGAAAAAGATCGGATCCGACCATTACTCAACTCAGCATATGAGGGACTTGCACATTTGGAGGTAAAAAATATCAAACTGCGGCAAACAGGTAGGTAAAAAAACAACCTATTAAGAATATTATATATAAGTCATAAGTGCATACGTGTTTGAACACGTTTAGTTTTTAATTTTGTGTGGTAGATAGTTTTTTTGATAAAAATGCATTTTTGGATACGGATTTTGGATACATCTGTACTAAAATTATATCGGCTGATTAATACTGATTGTAAGCGAGTCATCCTTGACTTCTGTTTCTATTCTGGATATCAATTAATTTCAACTTAATATCAGGTTGAAAAAATCGATTCTATACGGTCCCATTTCTGTAAATGTGTAGAACAACGAAATAACACGTGATGTTTGAATTTTTTTATTAAGATGTTGCAATAAATCTTAAAAATGTAGTAAATTTTATTACGAACACATTTGACTTCGTCGTCTAAGTGCATGAATAGTACCTAATTTGTAGCATATACCTAAGAATTTTGCCTTGATTTCGTTAACTTTTGAAGTAGCTCTTAGATTTAATTGGTAAACGTTTCAGCGGGGAAATGGTAAATAGCTGCTTTGAGATTATTTTAAAAGTGATTAAAATATAGAAAAATTGGACATATACACTATCTCAAACAAAGTTGCCCTGTTATAGGCGTCGTCTAGTTCCTGTCCAAACTTTAACTTTCTCTCCATACAAAAGTGCTTCTCGGTAAACACGTAAATTTTCGGTTTTCTAAATGCACGTTATTTTAAAATTAACAAATCCACTTACTATAAAACTATGCTTCGTGATTAAAAATGTTTTTTCCAATAATATTCGTATAATAATAATACTAAAAATAATAATATTAATACTAAAAAGAATAATAATAATAATTCCTTTTCGAATGTTTTAAAAAATCATTGATAACATACAGCCTCTAGGAAAAAATTGATTTTCTAAATATTCGATTTCTAAAGAATGATTTACACAACGTCTCAGGACATTGGAGAAATATGCATAGTTCTCGACATATTATTAAGAAATTTGTCACGATGTTCATTCTAAGTATTCAGAACAAAAAAGTGCCAAACACCTTCCACTTTCCAACAGTAGTGTAACGAAGGTTCTTAGAAGGAACTGATTTTTACATTTTACACTTGGATCATAAACGACAAAGGAAAAGCAAAAATGTGAGAATATGAAATTAAGTTGAAATCAGTGTCATTCATAAAGTTGAATTGATAACAAAAATTAATCGTCAAGGTTGCAGTAGATTTTTATGTGTAAGCATTAATACATTAAGAAAAATACCGACTGATTATTAATGTTCGTGATTTTTTTGTCAGGTTGACAACCTATTTAAAATTGTAGAATTGATGGGATACCTAATTATTAAAGTGACACTTGTAACAGCTACCATCGTCTCAAACAATCACTATAATACATTTGTTAGACGTGCTCACGCCAAAACTGTCAACTGTGAACAGACATACTAGCATGGATCCCAATAATTCAGAATTGCCAACACAAAAATTTGCTTCAATCATTAATTAAACTTCATTTATTTAAACTTCTAACCATAATGTTCGATTAATAAAAAATTCCGTTGTTTTTTGGTGATGATGATCCATAGCATTTAAGATAAGGTCATATGTCTACACTGTTATGGATGACTCGACTACAATCCATACTGTTCACTCTATACATTCCGACATAATTGGTGTAATGTGAAAAATTCCAGTTTGTAACTTAGATTTATGATCAAATATTTACTTCCAAAGCTGCTAATTGTTTAGATTTTGTTATTCGGAAAATAAAGCTGATATATTTTACAGCAGGTAAAAAGATTCGAACAACTATAGAAGATTTATTTAAAATCGAGGATGAAGTGAAAAGTAATAAAATAAACAAAAGTGAATTTGAAAATAAATTGCAAATGGTAATAGCATCCATTCAGAAACTTGATACTAATTCAAGAGTCACAATAGAAGAAAACGCAGAAAAAAATATCGCTTTTTTGATTTTGCAATTATATATCTATAGTACATCGGCGGACGGGAACATTGCTGGAAAAGAAGAAAATAGTACGACAACATGCACAAAACAATGTTCGAAAGGTAACCATTAGAACAAAAACAAATTTTGATTATATTTTTGTAGGTAACTTAAATGCCCAAACAAGTAGCCGAAACAGGACCAACAAGAAAACAAAAATACAAAGGGCAGATGTAAATCAAAACTGTGGCAGTCAAACTTCAGTTTCGGAATGGCAGTCTTTAAAACAGGGTACCGAAGAGAATTTAAATGAGAAAAGTAAACCTTCGCAAAACAGCATAATTGGGACATCGACTACAAATCTCTCAATGCAGCAACAGACAGAAAAGTATTGGGGAAACATGAACGCAAAAAAAGATTTTATGGGAGAACACCACGCAAACAAACCTTTTCCGGGTTTTAGTCAAGAATCTGGTTATTATGGAAAAAAAAGCAACACCAGTTCACTGGAAAACAATACAAAAAATATACCAGAAGAAGAAGCAAAAAACAACACCCAAAATGGTGTGTTGGATGCTAATAGAATAAACGACTATTTAGTCTCACTAGGGTACATAGAAGTTGAGATTTACGATGTTATTCAATCACAGACTGACCACACCATAAAGATAGCAAATCTAGAATCTCTGAAAAAAAAAGTTCGTGGTTTCAGTAGCACTAATGTTGAGGTTCGCGTTCAAAAAGAAGAGCTTTTTAAAAACATTGACAGCAAAGTTCATTTGATAAGGCAGAGCATTGAGAAACGTGAAGAAACAAAATCTAATAATACAGAAGCTAATACAAGCAACTTTTATCAGAAAGATACAGTGAAGAAAGAACCGAGGCGATTTGACTATAACAATTCACAACAAGTGCCTACTTTGGGTGGTCCAGTAGAGCAATTACAAACAACTTTTGCACACACAAGTAAATTTTAATCAGTTCTAGTGGTTATCTTTTAAATACCTCTATATTTCGTAGATGATTTTGACCAAGCCAGAAAAAAGTATAACAACGCAGAAATTTGGTCACCACAAAACCTACAGGACCACGGAAACCGAAGAAATTTGACGCATAAGCTTTCAACTCAAGAAACTAAAAGTGATTTTGGTCGCTTTGAGGAGCAACAATCTACAGATAAATTAGCAAAATTTAATATTGAAAACGAAAAAATGAACAATTCCGCATGTACCAGTTTAGGAACGGTACCAAAACAAAAGCAAATGAATGAAATAGCCAATGCTGATGGAGAAGTTGAATCAAAATCTATGTTCACAGAAATGTCAGAAAATAAGAAGTTATTTAAGGATAAATCTGACATCTCACCGATGTGCCAAACAGAAATAAATAATGTTAAAAAGAGGGAAGCAGAGGAAACTTTTTCAATACGCGAGGATGTAGAAAAAAAACTACAAAATTCTGATATCAAACGTAATTGTCTAAAATATTCACTTTAAACTTTGTCAATTTTTAACTAGTTTTTGTTCTTCAGGTTCAGCAGAACTAATCCCGTCTCCAATTCAGAACGATGACTCACATCCTGAAGATAGATTTGAAAATTGTACACATATTCTTGACAAAGCACTAAACACTTTAAACAATCTTGCAGAACTTGAACAAAATTTGGAACCTGTTAATAAACAAGACATGTCTGAATTGAAAAAAAATATGTACTGTTTAACGGGCAATCGTCCAGAAGTGGCTTACAACACAGAACCACACCTAAGAAATAAACAAAACGATTTTGAATTTATAAATGCAGAACAAATGTATACAGCCCCCACATTTGAACAAGAAATTGTTATAAACAATTTCAGTGAAAATAATACAATTGAACATGAACCGTGGCGACTAGAATGTAAAAATTCAAAACAATCATCTTCCTTCTTGCTTAGTCAAAAAGAACAGTTAGACCCAGCATCTTATGATAACTCAGAAATTCATGTAAATAAGAGCAATAACGCAACAGTTCAGTCTCCACAAATGTTGCAAAAACACGAAAACCAAAGGAATATAACGGGACCTCTTTTAAGAGAAAAACTAGAAGATAATTTTGAAGCGCAGCAATCTACTAACAAAACAGAAATATTTAACGCTGAAGGTGAAAAATTCAACTATCCGTTAGAAATGAATTACGCACAAACACAAATCAAGGAAGAAGCCAGGGATGCTACAAATTTTGAACTGCACTCTACTATAACGACGAGCACATTAGGGACGGAAATAATTAAGGATGAATCTGACCATATCTCACCAACTTTTTCAGAACATATCTCAAGCAGCAAAAGTACGTACTTAACTAATCAGTTATTTAATTATTGTTAATTTTTTTTTCTTTAGTTTCTGATGAACCGATTCTGTCGGAAATGTCAACTGAAAATTCGCAAACTGAAGAAACAGTCGAAAATTATCAAAATAATGTCCACGAGGTGGCAGAAGACTTAAACAAATTTATAACTAATTTAGACCAACCACTTTCTATTTTGCAAAGCCAAAAGGAACAATTGCGATTACCACCTACTGCACAAGAAAGTATTTTTTTTTAAAATATCTAAGTACTTAGTTAATTTTTAAATGTGCACATATTTTGTAGACGATTTCCAACAATTAGGTGAAACCTATAGAAATTTTGAAGCTGACGAAACAAAGATCAACAACGTGGCAATTCAGTCACAAGACCACGGTAACAAAAATTATGTAAAGACCAAATTTTCAACTGAGGAAACAAGAGATGCTTGTCTCCCCTATCAAACGCAGCAATCTGCAGACGAATTAATACCATCTAAAGGTGAAGATGAAATACCAGACAGTTGTGGTACTAACTACTCGGAAGTTCAACAAGAACAAATCCAGGTTAACGCTGTTGTAAATCTTGAACTACCTAATATTATGGACACAGAAACGCCAGCTAAGAAGGTATCTAGAAGTAAATGTGACCACAGTTCACCAGCTTGTCCAATAGAAGCAAAACGTATTAAAACGTGTGAAACATATGAAAATTTGTCATTAAGTGAAGACGTGATAAATGAGCAACAAGACCTTGTTATCAACCGTAAGTCTCTAAATTAGTTAATCTAAATCTTATCCATTTTTCACCAACTTTTTTCTTCAGATTCTAAGGAGCTAATTATGCAGAAACAAGACTTACAAATTATTATCGACAATGTAACAGATGAGCTGAACAAATGTGCAGCTAGAATAGAAAATTTACAACCTGTTAACGAAAAAATTTTGTTAGAATTGGAAGAAAATATAAGCGATTTGATTGACTGTCGTCTTGAAAGTATCTCTGAGGAATATCCAGAAATTATTCAACAAAAACAATTGATTAACAACAAAGGACTGGATCTAAAATGTAAACTAAACAAATTTAAAGATGGGAGAATAATATACAATAATCAAATGTGTTTATTAAAGGAGTGCGAAACTGAAATTATGCAAATTGCGCACTTGCGGGATAACTTTATAGTAAAAAAAGGAAAACTGGACGATGTTAGGAAAAACATCTATCGAATCGATAGCAATTCTCCTGAAGTAAACAATAAAAAAACAGTGATTTTAAACAAATTAGAAGGACTTATTTTACTGGAATCAACAGATTATCTAAGACAGTGCTCTGAATCGATTAACACTGAAATGTTAAATGCAGAACAATTTCCATTTCCAAAGAGAACTGACAACTTTCAGTCCAGGAGTAAAAAAATTCAAGCGTTAAAATATAATCTCGGCGAGCTTCCAAAAGAATATCAGCATATTCGAGCAAATGTTGAACTTCTGGAGAAAGATATAGATAAAGCTGTGGTTATTTTAGAGGACACGGCTAGCTACAATGAAAATGTGTTTCTTAGACTGGAATTTTTAGAGAAAACAAAACAGGCCATTACTGAAATTCAGAATGCAGAAAATATTGAACTAACGGATAAATTAGAACAATTAGACCCCCATCTTCAAGAAATGGATTTTCGTGATGAAGATAATCACCAAAAAATACAATTAAAGAAGAGAGAAATTCGTCACTTAATGGATAGTTTTCAAACAACCGTTTTTGAAAATCATGAGAACTGCCTAGAAGTTAAAAATAAATTGAAAGAATATGAAACCGAAATATTGGATTCGAATTCTTTCACGTCTCACGAAGAATATCGAAGCAGAATAAACGACATTTCACAGATGGGCCAGACATTTAAGGATCATTTCAACATAAATCATAATCCAATTGTACTTGCATTTTCAAGAAGGTGTAACATAATAGTGGAGCTTTTAGGAAAAAAATTCATACAAGATGAGAACATTCGTACGTCTCACGAATGTTTGAAAGAAATTGGAAATAGAATTATTGCTAACAAAAACGTGGCTGCTGCAATGCAAAAACAGTATTTGGATGATGACGCACTCATACTTTGTTCAATAAAGAAATCTTTACATAACCGTGAAATCACAAATATTGTAAAAGATTTGGAAAGTAAAATCAAAGTAGAAAAGTTTAAACTTGAATTAATCGACAAGAGAATTGCTTTAAATAATCTTAAGAAAGACGTTATACAACTATCTTTGCCTGTGGTTTGTACTAAATTTAAGACACATATGGATCAGTTGCTTTCTTGGAAACAATATGTCGATGCAATGCCTCAGGGAGACTCAGAATTAGATTCCCAAAAGCAAGAATTTTTACAAGAACTTAGTATTTGTTTGGGACATTTGGATGACTACGTGGCAAAATTACTAACCAGCAAGAAGCAGTCTGAAAAAATTTTAGAATTGGAGAGTTATTTTGATTTCAAGTTGGATTCTTCCAAGGTTTCAAGAAATAGTTTGGAGTTTATTCAAGAAATCAAGGAAAGGGCGCGGTCTTTTGACGAAAGTGTTAAATACTACCTAGGTTCAAAATATTCCATTGATTATTACATTATTCACGAAAATTTGCTGCGATTGCTACAAGAACTTCACAAAGTGGTTTGCAACGACGATGATGAGCAATTGCTCGACGAACTTATAGATACTATGGATTATGTAAAGAGGTTAATTCGGTTGCTGGATTCTAATGCCACCGATAAGTGAACAACTTAAATTAACGAGGAGGTTAGGTATTAAAGAGATTGCTATATTAATTATAATTCTATAAATATGTATCGCCTAACTAATTTTTCTTTGTTAATAAACATGTAGGTACATTTGATTTTTTACTTATTAAGCCATTTGATATAAACCTAGGATTCCAGTAACTACATTGAAATCTTTGCTTATGACTTCTATTTAGTTAGGTACTTGTTCTTGTTAACTTTTAACACCTCTAATAAATGTTAGGTTATCTGGGTAACAGATAAAGTTATCTTGTCAGGTCTGGCATTAAGTTGTTAACTGATAACAGTTTTTAATTTTCTGGTGGAGAGATGTAGATCAAATAAGTCGAAGTTAAAATAGATTTGTCCAAATACTTAGGTATAAATGTTATTATCGTTAAAAGTTTCCGCTTGAATTGTAATACCGCCACCAAATAAAATTTCCGACTTATAAAACACGACCCAACCGAGGGCGTTTGGCTATTACTCCTATAATATACCCAGGCTTATTATACCGGGTGTCTGGAAAATGGCGGATTAACTCTCCGCTACGATCTTAACAATCAACTGGTGAGTCTGGGAAAAATAGTAAAGACAAGTTCTTCTCACATTTTGGTAGAGTTATAATGGTTTTAAAATTGGTTCTTTTGCTACGCTTAACAACTAAACAACTCATTCTTTATGACAATAACTAGTAATAAAACTTTTAGTAAATATTTTTCTCGCCCATGACCATGTTTAATTACCATTTCATTTAGAATGCACAAAGATATGGCTGTGTTGTTGTTGTAATAATTTGATAAAATTCCATTTGACAACAGTGGCGTAACTACCGGTGTTCGATGTGTTCACCAGAACACGGGCTCGCTGCTTCAAGGGGCCCGGTCCGGTCACACGAACATTTTTTTTTTGTTAGATTTTTTATATTATTGCCCAAATTACATCCCGAAATAAAAAATTCGAAAATGTGCGGTAATTCCAGGATCGACCGTTCGTTGCTATTTACGAATTTTTTGCTGCAAAGGGCTGGACTTTTTTCGGCATCTCAATTCTCAATATCATAAACTCAATAAACTCGGGTTTTAGCGACCGCAGGATCTGTTTCTAATAAACCTGTCGCAGTGTCGCAACCCCATTGTGGCAAATCTAACAACCCATGTTGTAAATTACCAATCTTTATCCGACAAAAGTATGACTAATTTATGATGCAAGACAACAAAATACTTAAATTTTGTCCTCAGATCTACAGTGAAACTTCATACTGTAATAAGACATGAAAAAAAAAATCAGTTTCATTTGTGTTTTATGAAAACTTTCGTATTTTCGAAACTATTTTAATTCTGTACTTGTGGTGCTTTTTTGGAATAATAAAATATATCTGATGTATATTACAACTAATTTTTTAAGTAGAAAAAAAACTGGACTGGGAAATTTTTACAGAATGACCTACCTGCACTAGTTTCACTGAAATTATCACAGCATGTCTCACTTTTCTTACAATGCCTCTTTCGGTGGCTTCAGCGGAAAGATCTTTTTCGAAATTAAAAATGACTAAAAATTTTTTAAGAAACACAATGGGCCAATTCAGATTATTTTCACTGAATCTCTTAATTGGAAATCAAATTGCCAGAAGCTTAGATGTGTCAAATTTTGTATCAACCTGTGCCCATTTTAAAGCAAGAAGAAAACAATTTTGAGATTAAAGAAAATGGGCATTTTTATCTATACTTCTATACTTACTTATATTATTGTTGAAGAGTTGAAGAGTTTGTTTGGTTGAACGCGCTAATCTCAGAAACTACTCGTTCGAATTCAAAAAATCTTTTTGTGTTGGATAGTCCATTTATCGAAGAAGGTTATATGCTCTATAACATCACGTTACGATTAATAAGAACGAAGCAGCAATGAAAAATATGGGAAAAACGGGTAAATTGCTTTATTTTCTTCACAACACCACATCCATAGAAATTTATCATACGTGTTATGTCTATTAAAATATCTATGAAAGTCTTTCCTTTTGCCATGAACACTTTTTTTTATAAATAGATCGACGGTGGCTCTCCCTAAATTTTCCATTACAATTTTATCGTTGTAAGACAGGAACATTTTTATTAAATATTCAACTGAATTCATTATTTTTATTTAAAATCAAGCAATTTCACTCGCACAGATGAAAATGAACCCCCGAAGTTGAATACTGCTAGCGGTCACTGTTGAAACGTGATCCGATTCCAACCAAATTTACTACTAGAGACGCGGTACCCATGGCAACGATGTAAACAAAACGTCTAAATCTTATACTATTAAACGAGTAAAGTTTGTATATATATAAATATATAATGGGTTTCTCGAAAACGGCTCTAACGATTTCGATTAAATTTACAGGTTGGGGGTTTTTTGGGTCAAGAAATCAATTGATCGTAGTTTTAACTTCTGAAAATTATAGCTTCATACATTTTCAGCAATTTTCAGGCAGTGAATTATATTTGTTGCTAGGCAACATCAGATGACACTACAAAAACACGAGATTGTTTTATAAGAGAAGTTTGGGTGACAGTCTGACAGTACGTTTGACGTACCTTTTTATCTTCAATTGTACGTACCGAAACATACTCCACTGTATAGAGGACGTTAAAATTCACCTTCTGAGGTGAGAAAATTTACGGAAAACTAAACAGTGAGCGGATAAAAGGCACACGAAAGTGTGTTGAATTGAGGTTATGTTGTCAAGCATTCAATTCAGAGGTTCCACGGTCGGAGTCAAAATGTGATCGTTTTCCGGGATGGGACTGTGTTATTTGAGTTTTTGGGCTCAACGTTTCGCACACTTTAGTAAGTGGCATCCTCGGGAGCAGGGTTGAGATTGAGAAATTAGGAATAACGCAAAAGAGCACGGTAACTCAGTATGTTAACCACACCAGAGGCGAAACTCTTCTGGCAGTAAGAATGTGGTTGTGATCTTTTTCTAGAGTCGAGAGAGAGAACTAGGAAAAAAAAAGAACGACACAGAGAGAACTTCGGTAACACATGAGATTGTAATAAATGTCAAACAATAATTCCAGTTTTATATTCTTTAATCTCTACATTTCACTCATCAGTGTTTAAAACAAAGACTGCTTATGGAATTTCTTTTTTAATGTGTATTTTTAGTTAGCGCGTGTACTTCAAAATGCATACTATACGCATATTTATCTGTCCTAATCTGATCTAATACTACCAAACGAGCCGAGTGAAGCTCGGTCAACCAGATATTAACTCATGAATCATGATTTGTTTTCGCCACGGTGTCTCCCCCAAGACACTACATTTTTAGAATAATTTTTTAAATATTGAAAATTAGTATTACGCTATGTCAGGTGTGTTTGTATAGTAAAACAGTTGCACAAACTACCTCAAAACAGTCACAGTCCACTACTGTAAGATACATAACTATTAATCTAAATTATTGCCATTGTAAAATACGTAATCTGTTAAAAAAATAAATGATAAATTGATAATTTTACTAAAATAAAACTACTAAAGGAGCAGTTACTTTTTATCTGTAGTATAAATAAATTTTCAGCCAATGAGTTCTAGGTATGTAATAGATAAAGGTATCATTTAAGTATCACTAACGATATTTTGCACTTTTGCTCAGACTAGAGAAGTATTTTAGTAAGACCCAATTAATAAGTAGCTAATTTCATGTTTTTGTTTCTACTTATTAGATTCCGGACACATGTACTAGTTAGTTTATACGGCGTTTACAATGCGATTTTTTTTTCATCTAGCATGTTTTTACAGAAAAGAGAGACAAATATACAGTAGATATTACATAACCAGTTGTGAAAAATTTCATGCAAAGGAGGTTTTCATAACGCTTTAAGTGCAAGATTTTTTCTAATTTTTGTTGTTAACACATTAATTTCAATTTTATGAAACTTCAAAATGCAATACTTACGTCTTGTTGACGAGATTCAATTATCAACACTGTTGTTCAATCTAGTGTTAGAGAAAGTCATTAAAAACCGTAAAATTAACAGACAAGGAACACTACACATAGAAAGCCCTCAATATACGATTTCACAGCTGTAAGTACATGTTTGCCGTCATCATGCACAGTTGACGTATATGTTTCAGTCCGCTTCTATAACAATTTTCTCACCGCACGTATACAAAAAGTACAACAAAAATATGTTCGATTCTGAAATTTTTTTAGATATTGAGGAAGCAGCTACTGCAGCAGTGTCGTCAATAATACCCGAAAAATCCAAAGACCTACTTTGCCAACAATAATTTCTAGTTCATAACTAAGTACGTAAAATATTTCATCACTAGTTATGAAAAATTAGTCAATTCGAAACTTCAATTATGTCTCTTTTCATGTCAAAATTAGAAGAAAGAGTTACCTATTGTTTATTATTTCTTTTTTGTAGATGTTGAAAATAATTGAAGATATAGTAATTGGTATTGACCTAGGTACGACAAATTGTTGTGTTTCAGTGTACCTTGATGATAACACGAATGTATTAAAATAGAAAATGATGCTGGACATCGCCAACTCAATCTAACTCCGCTGCGCTTCATAATTAACGAAAGCGTCGGCAAATTCTTTAAGTTTTCGTTGGACAGACGTTATACTTATTATTTGTATACATTTATTAATGTACACAGTTTTTGAGAGTGTTATTGGTGAAAATTCCGTCACCAAATGTATCCAGATTTTTAAGTGAAATTTAAAGTCAAAAGTTTTGCTGGAGTTCGATACAATAAAATAAATTGCCAGTGGACTTTAATGGAATTGCAGTTAGTCCTGAAAACAGATAGGTATTACAAGAAATTTTACTGATAAAAACGAAAAATAATCTTCACACAACATTTATTTATACTGTGAAAATAACATCGAAACAACATCATTTTAATAATATTAATAATAATAATAATAATAATAATAATAATAATCATGTCAATAAGAAGATGTCATTGATTTGGTTAAAAAAATCAAGTTTGTATGCCGAAACAGAAGGATTTGTGTTTGCTATTCAAGACCAAGTAATCAATACCAAGAATTATAGAAAATACATTATCAAAGATCCGAACATAAAAAACGACTGCTGTCGCCTATGCAAAGC